GTTCTGGCTGAAGCTCCAGTTACCCGACTGTTACTTATCAGTGAAGAAGCCTTAGAAAAATTTGTATTTATTATGAGTACTTCTTAACGTCCCATCAATATACGAAGTCGACTTTCCCTATAATACAGTGTTGATCAAACAATCATTAAATCAATTGAAATTGAGTAATTTGTAACGCGCTTCTTCAAGTGTAATCCTTTTATCTCAATACGTCAGTTTTTCGTCTCGAATGTCARATAATTTCCCCTTGCACAATCGTTGTTCAGTCGCTATCATATCGAGACGAGTTAACCCACGTGCACGTCTTCTACATTTTGTATTTGCTTGTTCTCGTTTTGAGAATGCAGAAATTTGTCAACAAAAGATATTATAAGGTAATTATATTGAGATCAAATCTTTTGTCTATGATCAAGTTTTGYAATTCTTCTAAACAAAACTCTTACTATGTTTCAGCCTCATCGTCATTTAGTCAATCATAAGATTGACTATCTAAAGCTAGGTACAAAATTTGCATGGCTTTACAATGAAAATGAAAAGCCATCAATAACAAATATAAGGGAGGGTTCATTTACCGCTYAGCAAGAGAGKACTTTGGCTCAAACCCTTCGAGTCGTCAAGCTAAAGCCACGTACAATGCGTGGACTAAGAACATTGGCGGGGCTAAATCCTACGCTGAGAACCTACGGCAGAAAACTCGTAACATCCACAAGGTATGTGTTGTAATTTTTGTTATTCAGTTATATTGAATGAATCAATTTACATATTCGTCCCGCGGTGATTTCTTAAAAGAATAAAAGAAAAGCTATTACGAAGAGATAGGCTGTGTGGAGAGGTTGCGTGACGCGTGACCGAAACTAAACACGGCTGCGTGGAGACTGGGAGAAATCAGAAACAATTTTGGATATTTCGCAGGCGATGATGGAGTAAGATCGGATAGGATAAAATCGGATGAGATAGGATTTGTTTGTTGTCGTTATTTTTTTCGTTTTTTATTGTTTTTTTTATTCTTACGTCAACTTCGCATTTGTCGATGACAATTTAAGTTACTAKGTGAGCCGTATAAATCAATCAAATTCATCAGTGTATAATTCAATGCTATTTCAGTCGAATATACGACTAATAACAATCGGAGATTCACWAATTATGCTAAGTTGATTAATAGGGTGCAAAAATAACCTGCGACACGACGCCCACTTCTTATAACAGGTGTTATTATCCGCGATATTGGGAAAGAAAGGCTTTTTCCACCTAAGTGTTGATCCAACCTCTTTTTTC